AAAACTCGTGCCTGTCCACGAACGAGTGAGCACAGGTAGTACCGCGGAATTCCCGACCTTGAAAGCTGCAGCGCGGTACACACTCTTTCCATTGTACTTTGAGGGCTGATGAGGCCCACGCACGTTGAACATCTGCACGGTGACTTTCACCACGCGTCTCGTACCGCTATCCTGCCCGCACCCAGCCAGATTCTTCAATCCAAACAGTTGAATCTTCCACGATACCGAGGCATTCTGCCGCCCAATACCACCATTGTGCGACGGCAAACGGAGCTCAGTCCGTTCGTCACCCCAGCTGGAACAGAGGTCTCGAGCGTGGCGCTGTTGGGTAAGCGCCGATACTCGTGACCGCCGATCAGCTTGGTGCTGCATCCGACTTGCTCGCCCATGCGATCACTACCTGATCGTCGCCGGATACACATATATATGCCCAACTATTTGTGCCGAACTTTCTCATTCGCTCCCGTCGTGTTCCATCTCAATGCGTCATCTTCAGCTCTCGTCTCTCACAGCGCTCGATCGTCCTTGACCTTTCATTACAATCAGACGCACAAATATTCGTTTCCTCACCACCACCTCAATGTATCGTGACCCTAGAGATACCACTGATGGCCGCCAGGCGCGGCCTCCCCTCCCGGTCTTGTCGACCAGACATCTACCTCAGCGACCTCCTACAGAGGATGACGAAGATACGTACTTGTCCACCCCGTCCGACAACTATGAGCGCCCAAGCTCATCCTCAAGCGCTTTGAGAGGTCGCTTCGACAGTTTTGGTTTCTCTGCTCGTCGCCGATCGAACACTAGCAGTCAGCTCGAGGTGCCGCTGCCTCCCCCGCCTCCTTTCTCCAGTTCCTCTCGACCAATCGCTTCCCGCCCTCATCATCCTCGACATCATCCCGACGATCGCTTTGACGATGTTCGAAGGCCGCACTCGAGCTCTGGTATCGCTGTGGAGTCACGCTTGCCTCCAGTACCACAAGACTGGGGTGTCACCTACAACCAGCCCACCGCTCGTGTCACTAGTAGCAGCTATGCGAAGTCATCGTATCCACCGGCAACAGGAAGTGTGCCCGCAATCCCTCCAAATGCCAGATCGAATCTGGGAGGGTCCCCTTCGCATGCGTTTGCCTTTGCTATAGGTGGATCATCATCCACGGCCCCTGGGTCTTCGTCTCTGGCGTTCACACAAAGCGCTGGTGCGACTCCAATCGATGCCAGGCCCAGCTCCTCTGGTCGACGGCCGTTTGATGTTCCTGGCCCGCGACAACCCTTTGACACCTTGCCCTTCGGTCAGTCAAACGCACATCAGCAGGTAGTGAGCGCTCGAGCAGTCGATCGACCTGTGATCAGACGACGATCTAACACTACCCAGGTAGAAGGAATCGGACCTTGGTATGGCCCCTCTGGAACCGTCCATGATGCTTCCCATCACGGTATACCGCCCGCTCCAGAGGCGGCGCCACCAAGTCTGACTAGCTTGCCGCTGATGGATCCGGATCTAGAGCCTAGGTGAGCATCTTCTTGAACAACCTCTTGAGCTTGCCATGTCCAGTGCTGACCACATGTCGCTGGCCTTCGGCTCGAGATAGGTCTTACCATCTGCACATACGACAGCAGCCTACACATGGTCGCATGTTCGGCTTTCGCTCGCGAGAGCGCAGGCCACTCGACCCCCTACCGATCATCGAGCTTACCATTCGAGATCGTAATGGAGAGATCGACTGGTTGTGCGTGCTGCTGCTCATAGCCCAATGTGTGCTCATCATTGCCCTCGCACTGCGCTGACTCGTGCACCTGTTCATCCTCTAGTGCACAAACCAGTCCTGACTTGTTGATGCAGGTCAGCCTCATCACCGATGTAGCTCACGAGGACGAGTTGGTGTCTTCCAGCGCCAATCCGAGTGCCACTATGCCTCAGAGTCGCCTTTTGGAAGGAAAGCTTGCCTCCAGCGGACATATCGTCAAGGATCTCGATGGCGAAAGAGCATGCTTCTTCCTCTTTCCGGATCTCAGCGTCCGCGTCGAATCCATGGCTTCACTGCACTTCTCGTTGCTCCGACTTGGCGGTCCAACGTGAGTGAAGCCAAGGATTGCGACGCTTTTGTGCTTTGACAGCGAGCTGAAACCGTTGCGCGCTGTTTCACAGGTGGGAGTCTGGTGGCTCAGGACCTGCAGGTCGTGTAGTCGCAGAAGTGACCTCGGATCCCTTCCAAATTCATAGCCCCAGAACATATCCGGGCATCGGCGGTGAGTCACCTTCAGTCTGGCTCCGTACATCCGACAGTCTTTCTAATCTTCATGTCCTCCGGCCCTCCAGAGTCCACCGAGCTGGCAAAGTGTCTGGCAGCCCAAGGTGTGGCTGTTCCAATCAGGAATCAGGGTCGCAAATGAGGCGGCGCGCGCCTCGACTCATCGCGCTCGTAGCTTTCTAGCCTACCTCTATCTCTCTCTGCCTATTGCGCCCATCATTTACATGCCGGGCGACAAGACGCATGCCGCTGCATCACTATCCTCTTGTATTCGAGCTAGCTGTCATGGTGCCCAGACTGGCTTTCTTCCGTTCGCCCACGCCAGACGCAGCACATACCCAAGCACGATGATGGCCGCTTGCGTTCACGCTGCAGCTTGGGCAAAGCAATGCAAATGAGCTGTGCTAGACGGTCCGACAGGAAAGGTTGTGAGCGTGCAAGTGGCGAACGAAGCAGATGCGCTTTGCTTGTGCTGTGCTGCAAAGTCGAGACACCGATGTATTGAAGTGTACAACCCAAAAGGTGAGGAATAAATAAAAGATGACAGCAAGTGGACCTGGTGCGGTAGGATACAGGGTAAGGAAGGCAGAACGAGCAAGTGCTAGCAAGGAGACTTGCGCCGCGTGTGGTCTTTCCAGCAGCGAGGTGTCGCGGTTTTGTGAGGGGCAATGACGATTAAAGATAGGTATAAAAACGGCACATCGCAGCAATTGAAGCAAAGTATATAGCTTTAGCTTGACAGACTCCCACCTTTGTTGCAGCCTGCATTCAATCCGTCGCTGCTCGCCATTGCACAGGCAAGGACACATGGTTCGCGAAGAACTCGGTGAGCGGGGTATCCCCTTTTGAGCCGATTTGCGGTGCGAGGGACCATCATCAGTCAGCTTTAGGCGCGCTCGTCTTCTGTAGGAAGTAAGCTGGACTCACGAGGTGCTATGTATTGCGTGCGCAGCAAGACGTCAAACGATTGAGTCTGCACACTTGCCAAGGGCCCGCGCGGCGTCGGATCGCTGCTCGAGACTGCAGCCGGCGACGTACTGGCGCGGCGTGGAGTGAGCCGACCGCTGAGCTCGAATCGTGCTTTCAGGACGCCGAGGCGCACACTCACTTTGGCATTCGATTGAGGTCAGCAACAAGTCGGAAGCGGCCGCGTGATCGGATGGAGATGTCTGGAAAGACGAAAAAGATCCCGTGAGGATTGTTCTGACCCTGAGTCTCTGGTATCCGAACGCCAAAAGCCACCATATTGCCGTAGAGCATTCGCACAGGCACTGCTGCATTCTGTGCATGAGCCGGGCTGCTGCTATGCGAAGTAGGCACTCTAGGTGGAGATGGTGTCGAGCCTTCCATTGCTGGTCCGTCTGCGCTGCCCTGGAGAATGGATGGCTGTTGAGCTCTAGGGATTGGTCTCCGAGGCGGTTCAGAAGGTGCAGCGCCCGATTCCTCTGCGTCTGGTGCAGCTAGCTGGCTCGGCACAGGAGACAGCATGTCTGCGGGTTGCCCTGTCGCAGTGACCAGGCGAAGTTGGCACAGCATGAAAGGTAGCTCGTCGAGGCTGCGCAAGGGAAAGTGGCGAAAGCGGCGGTCTTAGCTGACTACTTCTCGAGACACCGTCTGGCTTTACTCACGGAAGGACTTCCGCGCCGTCCGGCTCACTGACACGCAGTTGGAGAATGAGAGGGGGCGACACGCTGATTCGTGATAAGAGATTGGTCCCGAACGCACAGCCGGTGCTCGGTTGTTGCACGATGCTCAACGCGTAACGTCGCCTCCTACCAAGTGCAGCGCATAAAGCCTCTGGTCAAAATGGGTCGGAAGGAAGCTACGCTTTGTAGGCGCGACTCACCGTTCCGACATTTGATCATTGCGTGGTCGTGGCATCGGAGGATGGCGACGAGCCCCGGTCGTAGAGCCGCTGGCTGATGTGGCCTCAAAGGACCGACTGCCAGAGTCTTCTGCTCCGCCCGAGCTTCCAGAAACGTCACCGACAGCGCCACTTGTTGCCTCAGAAGCTCTCGAAGTGCGTCGTCTGCTCCTTGAAGGCCCGGGCTCTGGACTTCTGCTTCGGCGCTGGGCTCTCGACAGACCTGACTCGGCTGCGCGAGCGTCTTCCCGCAGTCTACCGGACTCTTGCGAGGCCGCAGTAGGACGTAGTGGGCGTGGGAAAAAAGAAGGCTGACTTGGACCTGGCAAGATAGAAGACAGCGTGGATCAATGGACGGTGCGTGAATTCACGAGTATGACAGCAGCGGCGTGGAAAGAAGCTGGAAGCATCAGTACTGGTGGTTGCGAAGGGCGCGCGACCAATCGTGTAACTTACGGAATGGCGATCCTCGAGATGAGGGGCTTGGTGGCGGCGGCATGAAAGAACCGTACGACCGGCCTTGCGCGCGCTCCAGGCCGGGCGAGCCTGAAAGCCTCGTCGACCGGTGTGCAGGCAGTAGGCGAGTGGGTCCATCATATGAGCGTGACAGGCTCTCGCCAGCCTGGGAAGGCGGCGGCGGCGGCGGCGCTGGTGCGAGGTAATCTCGGCCTGACCTTTCACGGCTAGCCTGAGAATGGTGTCCATCCCAGCTACTACTTGATGCAGCGCCGCGGTCAGTAGGAAAGCCCACTTGTGAAGCGCTTCGCGCGGCATTCCTAAATGGCTCTCGAGAAGGCTGCGAACCGTACCTGACATCGGAGTAGGCAACGTCACGGACGGGAGAGCGCGCCCGTGGGTCTCTGTGTGGACCGCTCGCTGGCCATCGACTGGTTCCTGCAACAGGCTCGCGGCTCGTAGGACCCTCTGGTCTCACCGCTCTTGCATGATGGTAGAAAGGTGGGAAGGAAGCTCGCTCCGCGACGCTATGCGACGCAACATGTAGCGGCGGCGGCCTAGCGATGGTCGGCCTGCGAAGTTCTGAGTTCGACCAATCCTGCAACGCAGCGTCGGGTCTAGGGGAAACGTCGCTGGTCCAACTTGGACTTCGCAGCGCTGCGGACCGGCCACTGTACGTAGCCCCAGACGCGGAGTTGCCAACTGCGGGCCGCTGTTCATGCTGCCAACCGCGGTGCTCGCCTGAGGGACTTGGCTGTACGGGTCTTGGGTGAGGAGTAGAAGAGTCCTGGGGACTTGTTGGACGCCTCGTCGACGACGTCCCGAGGCCCGTGGCCGCGCCTGCTATCGATGTGCCTTGACCCGATCCCGAAAGTTCTGATCTCAAAGTTGGCAGCCGTTCCCTGGAGGCAGGTGGCGTTGACATGAACGCACCGACGGCTGTTTGGGGCCCGCCCTCCAACGGGGCGTACAGCAGATGGGATGCCACTCGCTTGGCACAAGCACCGCTACCCAGTCTTGTCAATTAGCGTTGGTGGTCGTGCCAGACGAAGAAACGGAGTCCGAGCAATCGCTACAGCGGCGTCTTCGGCGTGCGAAGATGGAGATCAATTTACGGCAGCGTCTCGGCGTGCTGAGTTGAGCGAGGAGCGACGTGGTTGCCAGGAACGACGAGGCCGCGGTATCAAGGTGTCGACAAAGCAGACGATCACCCTGCTCAGCGCCGCGAGACGGATGTTGCGGTGGGCGGTCTAGCCAGCAGGGGCGGATTGGGGGTAGTCTGCCATAAAGATGCCCGGATTTGGAGGCGATGCAAATTTCGCGAGGTAGGACCTCTGGTTTTCAGGGTGCGTCTGATTCGAGATCAGGGAGCGTGTTGATAGTTGCAGGTAGTTTCGGAAGATTGGATCTAGCGGACTGCTAGCGATCGATGGTAGCTGACAGTCTGCGCTGAGTGCAACTCGATGTGTCGAGAACTGATGAGGTAGTGGTGTGCTGACAGGCGCCTCAGTAGACGATTAGCAGGTGAGGAGACTCGTAGAGAGCACACAGGCACGGGGACGATGTTGTCAGGCGGCGCTAGAGGGTAATAAATGAGGGTATGGGGGCACGACGATCCCTGTGAGAAGAGTGCCAAGTGATGGAAGGAAAGTCGGATCAATGCTCGATTGATTGTCGTCCTCAGAAGCAGAGTGCGCGCACACAAAAGGAAGTTGTAGATTGCAACAATGTCTATCGTCGGCACGTCGGCGAAGGCATCGTTTGGCGAACACCTTTGTCCTGCTCTGGTGAGAGTGTCCGCAGGCTTGCGTGCCTGTCGAGCATCAGCGAGGGCGGAATGGTGCCACGCGGAGAAAGCAACAAGTGAGACCTGGTCAATGGCTGAGCAGTCTTGCATGATTGAATACCGGCAAGTGTGAATGGCAAGTGGTAGCCAAAGGCAGGCAGAGAGCAAGCATGGCCTCAAGCAACCATCCAAGAGCAATCTCGGTCCCGCACTTTTCCAATCAATCAAGCTCGGCATACGGCAGAGTGAGGCGCTCAAAGAGTTTCACCTCCAGCTTGGCCCCCTTGGCTTAGCCTTGGCTCTGCTTCTGACGTTCTACACTTGCGCGATACCTCTCTATAATGAATGGCTATACTTCTCCGGCCGACGCAGCGGTAAGGGTGTCGATGTGCCGGTGGGCTGGGCCGGAGCGCGGCTCCGAAGTTGATGAGACCCTGCTGCTGTCGCAATGGCCCTGTTCGCTATGTGGTATGACAAAAATATTAAAGTGTGTGACCGTGGCGGGGCGGAAGCTGCTCGTATGGGCGGGACACGTCGCAGAGCTAAATTGACGTGTAGGTACGTGATCTGAGACAGGATAGTGTATGTAGCGACAACAAAGCGCAGCTTGATGACTTCTTGCTTGCAGCTCGAGGTGAGACACGGAGCGACCTGGGCTGCTACAGCCTGCTGGAGCACTCGAAGATGCTTGCGGACGACAGACTCTATGTCCTTCACTGATCTTGTGCCCAGCTGGCATCCAGATTGTCTCGGGTACGCCCAAGATCACGGTGCACTCCAGCTGCCGCGGAAAAGCTAAACGGCGAAATGACACGCCTTCTGGCAAATTCGAGTGTCACGAGTGTGTCTCAGATGATCGGAGGTTTATGCGTGTGTCTGGAGTTCAGGCGTGCGGTTGGGAAAGAGGCAGCAGACGACTGGTGGGCACTCCTGACCGATGAGAGATTTACCGCATGGGTAGCCGTGCGGCGCACTGCGAGAGCAGCCACACTCCCAACTAATTTCGACTCTACTCTACACACGCCAATCGCTGGCTTGCACAAGAGGACCCGGGGCATGCACCGCTCGTAGTCGTTGAAGGCATCCTTGAACTCGCGGACATAGGTAGCCCCTGATCAGACTTGAGCGCCACGAGAGCGTGCATTCTCGTCGGCGGGGTCGCACCCTATAGCGACAGAGACCGAGACGCTCGCAGCGCGATCTGCCCACCCGTGTTCTATCAACTCCGATAGGGCTCGCAGATGGCTGTGTATCTAGCCGAGCGGGCATTCCAAGGCAGAGTAAGAGTGTACTGAAGCTCGTGCTGCTGGCTGAGCGCCGGTCATCTGCTGCACACATGAGGCAGGCTTTCCCACCATGGGAGCTGTGCGCAACGGCTTGTTCTTTATTTGCAGCGTGCTGCAGCAAGGAGCGGCTGTGCATGACGTGTCTTGGTCCTGTCAAGCGATGCTGCATCGGCGATTCTCTCAAGTCTTTGTGCTGTAGAGCAACGGAGCAAAGTGTCATGATGAGGGGCTGCAGTTCTCAGACCTCACTTTCCTGATCAGAACGGTCGATGGTCTTTGCTAACGGGTGCTGAGCGTCGA